GGGAGTAGTAATAACCGTGCAAAATCAATAGCTCAGACAGGTTTTTGTGTTGATTGCGATTGCATAACATATAGCTTTTTGTAAGATTTTCAACGATTGATTTACAATTTCATTTCCGCCTCAATTTTACACTTGTTAAGGGGATGTCAGGGTCCACGGCATGGGTTCACATCGCTGCCTGCTGAATGATTTCAAGGTTGGGCCAAAGACTAAAGAATGCAGAGCCGACATAATGCGTTTCGCAAAGGGAATGCTACCATTCTGTACGCTCAGCAATTTTCTAAGAAGTTTTGAGAAGAAAACCCTTAAACGATGCCCGCAGCTGTGGTCGAAAACAAAAGTAGTCGATTGTGGGCCCTTCCAGACTTGTGATAGCGAGGTAAACCATCGACAGTGACGCATTGAACACGCGTAGATGCCTTTACCTCTAGTTATACGAGAAATTTTCAATACTTGTGTTCATTATCCACTACTAAAAACACCATAGGAGACGAATTTTTGGGACACACACACACGTCAAAAAAAGCCTTGGGAAAAATTGCCTAATCAAACTGCTAAGTTTCACTTCACTAAAAAACAAAATAAAAAATTAATAAAGAATCGTAGTCTTGAGGGCTGTATGCTAACTATGGGGTTGGAGCATAATATCGTAGCGTTTTTCTTTTCGAGCTACGAATTCAGTGAATACAAGTATTACCCAGGGAATCACATATATCATTTAAAACTTCTTCTGCTCTACAATACCATGTTTGGCATTTTCTTCTATACTGTAAGTGTACTCAGATATGGCGCTTAGAAGTTGGAGAATCAAGGTGGGCGAAAATCTATATAGAGAAAAAAGCTGCCAAAATAGGAGTTTTTCGGAATCCATCGTCATCATCGAACCTTACTCCGGTCGTCCCTTAATTTCAAATCATATTCACGTCGTACAAATTGAGAATAATGAGGATTAAAAAAACGGGCTCTACCCTTTTTTGATTTCTAAACCTGGTAATTTCTTGCGAAATGGAACCAAAGTTGTAAGTAATGGTGAGAAGAACATCACTGATCAGTTTTTGGCTTTGCTTTTGGGTTTCTGCCGAATGCGAGCGCTACGATATTATGCCCCGACCCAATATCTTCATGTAGTAGCCTTTCAGAGTACTGGCGGGGTTACTTCTCGTATGATTTGGGAACCGACCGCTCTTTTCTTCTGCCTCAAAAAGCGCTTAGCGTTATGCGATTAGGAAAGCATGACTTTTCTTCCGTCGAGTGATGAAATGTTTGAGTCATTTGGTCAAAATTCCTTTTTGACTTTTTGGTTGATTAAAGAAAGAAGCAATTGCCGATGATCGATACCTTTATAGAATGTGGTACGCGTTCTACTTCCACTTAAAAAACCTTCCCGCGGAAAAGTCCGCCCATTCACCAGAAAAACGATACCCCTTAGGCCCCTAGCCTCATGAGCATAGCAAAAAGAACGGAACATAAGCGTTAGTTTCGATAATACTAATCCTACACACAAGACAAAATGATCACTCTTTCCGTGGAAGATTCCTTTAAGGTATCGTTTTCTGTGGTAATGAGGGCGGAGCTTTTCCGTGGAAGATTCCTTTGAACATTCGTAGTGGTTTCCTGAATATGATTTTGCCTATGCACTGAAGGCCAGCTGATGTGCAAGCCAGGGTTTCAATCCTCCCACATCCTCCCTTCTGATACCAATTAAACTCGGAGGGATGAAAGGCTTTTGTTCGGTTCCGACGCACTACTCAGGGACCACGGGCGGGTAAGCAGCGCCATTCCACTAAAACCACTTTCACGCCACCTTTTGGAAGAAACGACACCAAGTATTCCGGTTCAATGAATACATACTTGACTTTTAAAATGACCCTACACCGGACAATGTCTTCACGTATTGCTGCCATTTTCTCAGTCCATGCTCCTAGTAATCCTCAAAGGATGAATTGGGTTGCACGAAATCTGACCGAAGAAATCTCCTATCACAATGCAGTGCACCTCTACCTACCGCGTTACCTCCATCATTGACGTTTTGAAGATTCAAGAAGTTTTTGCTCCTAAATCGCCCTTCTCGCTGCAGCCATTAAATTCTTTTCCCTCTCACTGAGCTCTTGCGATGAATTGCCTCACTTTACCAAACATATTCTGAACTACCCAATCATGCTACCCATAATCATTTTATGGCAGTGCAATCGTGCGATTGCATGTTACCGGGCTAGAACCTCTGACTGGTTTGGTTCCTCAATACAATATGATAAGCTGAAAGAAGCAAAACTTCGGTTTGGAGGGGGTGGGAGGGTTGGCGGCACTCCATTGTGCTCTGCAATACTAACGATAAGAATAAGAACGCTAATGAGACGTATTCGACTCATTAAAGTGCACTTCTGATAAGTTTTTGTTGTAGTGTGGAAGTGCTCCTAAGGTGCTTTCACATCTTGGCCCGCAGTAACTCACGAGAATGGTCCTGAACCAGAAGAATGAACCTCCTTGCCTAGGGGTGAAGAAGCCCCAGGGTGGATGACCATGTGACAAAATTAGCCCAAGTGTGAGCAGTATGTAAAGGATATCCCCACATCGATCCTTATAAGAAGCCACTTGAAAAAGTCGTTCGCCTATTAATTTAATAATGTTAGTGGGCCCGAAGGAGTGCCAGTACTGTGGATAAGATAACAAGGAGTGCCCTTTTCAAACTTCATTCTTCATTCTTTCTTTCTTCTTTTCATTCATTTTTTTTCATTCCGCTGAAGGATATTAAGGTTGTACTCAATTGAAGTGATGTTCATGTAGTTTCTCCAACTTTGGCTGTTGCTCAGTTGTTAACCCTTTAGTGTTATTTGAGTGGTTTTCTCAAGTGTGTACAGTTGTATAATGTTTTGGGGAGCACTCCTCTGTTCACGAAGCGCCCTCAGCGCGAGAAAGAACGACAACTTCGTTGACCCTTACGAAAGCGGTTCTTTCCGGAAGTTTGACGGGCATTTCTTCAATGAGCGTTCATGAAAAGAGATGAACACGTCTGTATGATGTCTGCTGCGTAGGGAGGGGTGGGGAGGGTTTGTTGGCTGGGAGTGCGTTCCACTTCTCGTCCTCAGGTCAGGTAACCTGAAAGTAAGACACCATTCAATTGCTCGAAGCAAGCTTAGGACTAAGTCTGAACCCAATCATTGGCTTAAGCATAAGCCATTGAGCAAGCATACGGCTAAGCCTAAGCCTGAACCCAGGCATAACTTTAGTCTCTAATGATCGCGTAAGTATGGTGATCTAACGTAGGAGGAGAACCGATCGTCTCCGGTTGGCTAACCGCTGTGCAAGCTTAAAAGTCAAGTTGTTCCTGTGATAACCAAAGATTCCTACGTCTTCTTAACGCACTTGCGAATGATTCTTTCACCGAACTATTAGAAGAAGCGTTCCAGGATATCTCTCAAGTACCTAAACTCATTTTACAATTCAATAATTATGTGGTCGCACATGTCTAGTGGCACCATAAAGGACTACATAAGCACAATCATTTTCGACCCTGAAGCCCTCGAAATCTCGTATACAGTGTATCCGTAATCTATAAGGAGACCGGGCAACCCCTCCCATAGTTTTTCAGATGGTATTAGCCTGCCTTTGAGCCGTAAAAGACGCCGAAGATCGGGAGAAAACGTAGAACACATATGGAAGCATGTGTGAGATGCCGTTGAAGGGAATTTTGTACATTTTTCAGGGTAGTCTTACTCTTCGAGTTTTTGAGCACTCAGATTTCCGCCACGTTGAGTATGTAAATTTTAGACATTGTTCCCGTTCTTCACCTGATTCCAACGCGATTTGCTTCTCATTTTTTAGAGCAGTAGGAGTGCTGTGACAAAAACCTTTTACATCAGAGATGAAACTATTTATTTTCTTCAAAATTTTCAAGTGATTTTTATATGAAAACTTAATCACCGAGGGGTTTCTCGAGATCACAAGAAAACTTCCAAGTCCTTTGGTAACTTTAGATTTTTTTCATGGAATAGAAAAAAGACTCTTAATCACCAGAATAAAATTTTCGAAAAAGTGCGTACAATACATATGTCGAGCTTGAGACCAAAGCACAACCCGTAAGTGTATAATAAGTTGACTAGTTTCAATTATAACACTAAGCCAATGAATTTTTTTAACTGTTTTATCGAAAACATTGTGACTTTCAGAATGCAAAACTCGTTGATGACTCGCGATTAATGGAGAAATGGGCGAATCCACAATATGAAATTTTGTTCAAGGTCTGTTAACAGCTTTTTCTTCTACTCTTTCTGACGGAGTACATTTTTGTACATACGGTTCGTTACTGACAGAGCTACCGTTGACTCTAACAGTAATTCAATGTGATTACCGTTTCTTTCTTTCCCAAAAAAACCGCTATACTCCATTGGGTTGAATAAATGTAGTTGAGGGGGGCAGCTCATAATATCTATATTCAAACTGACAATATACTATATCGGAAGTGGCGCTGCGGAAACGCAGTCATATCTAATCACTATCCAGACACAGCCTCCGAATGTATGATTAGATAGGGATTCCCAACTCGAGATTCCATACAAAATTGGATACCTGGAAAGGTCCTCTCTTCGAGGGCTCGCATGGCAGTCGCAAGAAGGGAAAGTGAAGAGCCAGCAAGGTAGCAGCCATTTTAGCCATAGAATAATATGACAAGGGTAAACGTACTAGTCGTAGGCCACGGTCTCAGTGAAAGATATGATAAGATATAAGTGCCTTCCCGCAAGCTCTACTTTGATTAGATATGTGTGTCTTTCCGCAACTCCACCTTCGATTAGATAGGGTGCCCCCCAAACTACATTTTCACCCTCCATTGATATTATCAGACAGACAAAAGAAAACCAAGCTAGATTGCGATGTTGATACACGAATTTTTCTCGAGTATATGTCCCACTTCGATTCAAAAAACGCGAGTTAATGTTCGTGTGGACGTGTGCTGTCGCAGTGGGTTGGGTTCTGTTTAAGTGGTGGGACGGCCCGACGAAATAATGAACGGAGCGATACCAGAAGTGACAGAGTCGGGTCCGTACACATTTACAAAGAAGGTGACGAACAAGGTAAGTGCTTACCTTGAACAAGAGTTGTTAGTTCGGAAACCTTTTTTCTGCATTGTCGGTTTTACTAACATTCCCCTTTATTGATATATTGGAAGGGGCTTAAAAAGATATTTTAGCATATTGAGGACCGCCGTTCTGTGCTTATTTCCGCATCGTTTGGCTTTATTTTCATCTCTAATCCGGCTTCATGTCCATGTTTTGCAAGTAGGAATGTGTGTTCCACTGTTTCGGGTCCTCAAAGCATGATTTCACGATAAGGTGGGAGGTGGAAGGGGGGGGGGAGTATGTTCAGCGAAATGCGGGAGAGTCCTTTTCCAAAGGGTCCAAAGTTTGGTGCCAGGCCAAGCGGCCTAGCAAGAGCGCCGCGACCGCCGCGCCGCTCTCTAGCGCGCTGCACAATTCTCCCACAGCTGTTCCATCGCTGACCATCGCCGCTAACTGAGTACGCGCTGTTGGCAGCAGAGCGCGTTAGCGTTGAAGAGGGCAGCACCGATGAGAATTGCATAATGGTAACGCAAATCAATGGGTAAGAAGGAGGTCTCAATTCTTGGGCACTAGGTCGCTCTTACAAGTAGTTTTTTCTCATCCATGCATCATTGACAGCTCCTACTTTGACTTCTAGTACGCTGACTTCTCATCGTGAACTCCGATGAGGGTAATTTGGGAATTGAAAAAAATCAAGTAAACCCAACAAACGGTTCGTCTTAGGGTATTGGCGTGCGTATATGTGGTTGTGTGTCCCATCATTAATTCTCGTCGGATAAGCACGGGTCATAAGTGTGATCGAACTGCTATGCCAGTAATGCATACTAGTTGTTTTATACGCTGTGTTTGCAAGCTCTTCTTTCAGTAACTGTTTACTGTTTTTAAGGTGCTTTCACATGAGAATGGTATAGTGAAGTTCAAGCGATTTATCTCCTACACCTTCAACGAGACTGAATCTTGTCTAACTTGTATACTAGGAAATCGGATATGGATTCCGAATATGATCTATCAGGTAAGATCCGCCTACCTTTTCGTGAAATTTCTGTAACGCGGAATGTTCTCTACAATAAGCATCGGGTGCAGACCATACACCACAATTTGACGACGGCCTGTAAATCTGGTTAGTAGTGGTTCATAGTGATAGCTGATTTTTGGTAAATGATAGTTGTAATTAGTGACAACTGATAGAATACAACTGCAACAGGCTAATCATTTCATTGGCAGAAAACATTTACATTTTGTGGAGGCCGTCGTCACTTGTGGTGTATGGTCTGCACCCGACGCTCTCGCTTTTTTGGAGGACTATACGAGTGGATACATCCGCCGAGCATGAAGTTTTGCCAGAATTCTTCGCTTGGAAGAAGTTCAGAAGACTTTACGAAAGCACTTTGTGGTTACCAATGGGCAACGAGTTCAAAAGAATGATGAGGGTGTGAAAATAAAAAATAGTAAAAATGAATTTATGAGAGACGACAGCGCTATGTGGCAATCCAAGCATCCATTCCAACATCATCCAACATATGTCAGTCTGTCTGAATCTTGTGAACCTGGCAAGAAACGGCTTGCTGGCAAATAGTCAAAAAAGAATTAGTGATGCAGGATTCTGCCGTGGCGGTCATCCGACAGATTTCGCAGTAAGGTGCAAAAAGCGCATAGCGGAAGGAATAGAAGCACACTGTTGTAGGATTGTGAACGTCCCGGCAAGTCGAAATGCAATGTCCATGGCGACATGGCCACAGGGGAGCAACATCGAGCTGCCGCAGGGACCGTATCCTCATCCTTCCTCCAGTGAGAGGGGACAAACATCCGCTTCCAGTTTTTTTTTGGAGACGTGCGTTTTCTCCTCCTAGGTCAGGCCACCACAGTTGCGCGATCATTGAAGCTTAAGGTTAAGTTTGGGTTTAGACTTAGGTTAAGGCTTATGCTTACACATTGGCTTATGCCTAAGCCTATGATTGGGCCTAGGCTTAGTCCTAAGCTTGCTCCGAGCGAATGAACGGCGTCTCAATTTTAGGTGACCTGACCCCAGGAGGAGAAACGCTACGCACCCTTTTGTTGTTCTCAACCGGCATTGCCCTAGGAGAGGGCTTAATTGTATTGTATGTGTGTGCAAAGGTAAAAAATGTGCTGAAGATTGAAGAGCATAATGCCAAACACAAATTAAATTTGGAAAAGTTTTCAATTCCCCTAGTGTGGGGGAATGATAAGATAGAGCCCCAGGTGGTTGTGGCATTGTATGCAGAAACATTGTGAAAATATGCTAACTTGTGAAACTGCCCTCAAACCAGCGCATATAATACCTAGCAAAAATGACTCTTGCAAGTTAGTTTTTGTTGATAACTAGGTCGTAAAACTGACAACTCATAACTTAGCATTCTTGTGGCCCTTGCAAAGATGACAGAGGAGCACGAAATTTGCTCAGAAATAAATCCGAGAAGGCTACGTACGATCACTTCCCACTCGTGGAGAAACTGGATAATGCCTACCCATTTTTTGAACTTTTTTGCGGATTTTTTTGTATTACATGCACAGCTGAATTTTTAGAAATTTGTCGAGGCTGCGTCTACTGTAGGAATGCGTGCAGCTGCAACGACACTTCTCTCACAAACCGCGTTCCTTGAAGTGGAAGTGGGAGAGTTCCTGTTCGAAGGATACAAGGATCCTTTCCTTGATAAGGTCAGTCAAGCATGAGCCAGGCAGAACAGCCATTACTCTCGTACTCTTTTACGACAGAAGAGCTGGTTTCAAATATGCACCGAAAAAACTGTTCTAATGGCGGAATCTCAGTGAATCTATTTCAGTTCTATTCTGTCTCGATGTTACGATGCCATTATTGAATCCACCTTCGGAAATATTGCATCTTCTTTTATTTTGAGCAATTCCTCAACGGTAGTTGCAATAGGCAAGAGATCCCGTGGGTGCATTTTAAAGGAAGCGGTTACGATAAAGAGCGGGCGCATTGGGGAAGCATATGCACCACCCTAACCAGATATTTGGCTGCCAAGGAAGCGAGGGGTGGCGCTTCCCGACCGGAAGGTGCGGGTTTAATAAAAGCATGCTCGTACTCTCCGCCCTCAAAAGCGGCTCGCCCACTAGTTCCTTCTTGACTTGGACGAGCCGCATGACCAGCAGCGGCGAAATGGAGCATCTTGATTGAAGTGTAGTTTGGCATGGTGCCACTTAAAGCGTTGCGGTGACTAGTCCTAAAAACATACATCCGCTTTCTGAGTCGTTTACGCTGTCGGAGTAAAAACCACCAACCGAAAGGGGTTCCCGTTTTGCGCTTTTCTGATGGATTTCTCTGCTTTTTTTCGCCCCCGTGGCGTTCCATTGAGCATCACCAGGTTTCCAGTAAACCTTCTTACAATCTATCGTATCGCTGCATCTGAGCTGTCAGAACTTGCCGACTCATAGTCTTTCTCCGTCCTCTGCAACTGTAGCAACAGCGCAATCAAATGGTTGCTGCTGCTGGACCCCATTTGACTTATCCAGCTCTGTGACAAGACAAGATGGAATTTTTATATGATATTCATACTAATCATGAGCTTGACGGCGGAGACACCAAATCGAGTACCTTTCTTCTTCGGCAGCCCGATTACGTTTCCGATTTTAACCCCTGGCGACCACGCGTTGCACCTGAGCATTTTTAGATCTTTCTCCAGTAGTCATACATTAAAAAAACTGTTATTAATCGATGAACCCATTGTTTTGCTATAGTCCGATAGTGTATGCGATTAGCTTCGGAACACAAAAAACGCCAAATAAATTAGGCCAAACGAGTGTGGTCCACTTGTAGGCCAAGCTGTCTTCTCAGTGTTAAAGGAATCTTCCACGGAAAAAGCTCCGCCTCATTACCACAGAAAAACGATACCATTAGGCCCTAACCCCCGGAACATAAGCGTTAGTTTCGATAATACTGATCCTACACACAAGACAAAATGATCACTCTTTCCGTGGAAGATTCCTTTAAAGTCGGCGTTCTATTGTTTGGAAGCTTCTTCTCGGATTCGTAACTCTTCGGCGATGAATTCATTAGTTCAGTGAAGAGTACATGAAGGTATAACCATACGCTGAATTGCGAGCGTTTTCAGGTGTGCGAAATTCCTTTCATGAATTTCGTCTGCGATTCGATTCTTGACCTACCGGATCGAATTGGGATGTTCTATGAGGTGCTTTCTTCAGGATTCGTTATCCTCTTTCCCTCTCAGCTAGTTTTTCATTGAAGGCGAACAACACAGCTGATGGAGTTTATGAGATCCACGACGGCGTGGACAATCCTCAGGATCTCGGTAAAATCGAAACATGGAATGGCAAGAAATCAGTTGACCCTTCATGGTATAGCTTTCGTATCTTTATTGTTGCTTTTCTACGTAGTCGAACCCACAGAACACTTGAGCCATCTAAACAGTCCAAACACAGGCTTCTGTTTTTCCAGGTGGTCCAGTGATAATGCGCGAGCGAATTCGTGGCACGAAGGAATGCTGTTCCCTCCGTTTTTGAAAAAATCGGACAGGCTGTACATATTCATCAGCCAGCTGTGCAGGTAGAGTTTTTCACTATTGTTGTCTCACCCCTCCCTCACCCCTCCATTGTCATCTTTGACATCTTGAAGCCCATGCACCCTTTGTATGGGCTGCAGTGGCCCACATGGGGCCTTGAAGTCCATACTTTGGAAAAAATAATTTTTCGTTCTACTCTCCATTTCCTTCGCTGAGGTCTCTCACTTGACCATATAATGGATCCTTGGTTCCAAATTGTATGTTAAGATTCTTGAAACTTGCACTGACGTTTCACGTGGCCGCAAAACGTGAAACGTGCGCGGCTTCCAATGTGCTGATGTGTGTGCCGCATCTACAATGAGGTAGCTCAGGGAAATGGCCAAGTCAACCATAGTTGTTAAATTTTGAGCGGTCGAATGACCACCCCTTTTAACACTTTGACAATCTACACCACACAGCTCATATATATAGGCTGCTTGCCAACAAGCCGGTGAGCATCTTACAGCTTGAGTTGCCAGTATTGGGGTTCCCAGTACCATTTACTTTTATTTATTTATTCAGTTGGGTTAACTGATTTGCATCATAAGTTTTCCCTTTTTGATTCATTTGTGAAGATACTAGGGATCCCACGCAGTGCAAAACATGAAACCGTGAGCTCCAAGAGCGTCCAAGATAGGTTACCCTCATGATATTTCGAGGTGCCGAGCCTGGCATGAGAGAAATCATTGATTCTGAAAATAGCTGGTCATCGGTCTAAATTTTTAACATTGTTCGTCGGTTCGGTTTGGCCACCCATTTAAAGCTTTTCCCATATGAAAGTTATGCACCTATGAAACACTCATTAGGAAAGGTCAGGAGGTCGATCTTGCCGGTCGCAATCAGATGACTACCTATTTTTACGCTGGTATTGAAGTTCTGAGCTCAATTTTCCCTTCGAAAGAAGTGTAACGAATTTGCATTCACGCCACAGTTAGGATTTCGTAGGATTGATTCCTTGACAATAAAGGGTGGGAAGGGGTTGCTAACGTGAGAAAAATCTATTATAACTAGCAAAAATGTGGCCCGATTCGCCCCTAACTCACACGAATCACTGTATTTTCTCAACCCCCAAAAAGCTTTGCTCTTCTGCTCTTTTCAACAACTTAACTAGCAGGTCTTTAATCAAGTCAATTCACTACCGCTCGCTGTTCGAAGAGTTTTGGCCCATAAGTTCCTATCACCCCTTTATTTGCCCACGACCGTAGGCCGTCCGCGCAACAGTGTCAGACCGCGTTCCTACAAAATCAATGGTGATATTCGTGTTTAAGGGCCAACTACTGTTTAGTGGCAAGGTTTTTAGTCATCGAGTCCTAAGTCGCTATACCATGGGGCCGCATAATTCCCGTTATGTTTCCGTTCATCAAAACCTTTTCTTTCGTGATGGCTACCACAACCTTTTTCTAAGTTGGTTTAAACTTGAAGCGCTAGGAGTAATTTAAGCCTGTGAAACACGACAATCACCTCTTCAATCCGCTCTCCTTCTTGACCAGACCTGCTCGCCTTGCCGTAACAAGGTATGCTTCGGTGAATAAGTTCAGAAGGTGGATCATTCGAAAAATTTTCGTCAAGAGAAACGTTTTGACAGCCGTTCTATGTGGACATTTGTTCAGGTCCATATGGCTCGAATTCGAGAAAGAGGTGGAGTACGAAGGCATACCGGCTTATCGCTTCATAGTTCCTCCTGACGTGTTTGATCCAACTATCCCTGAAAATGATGGCTTCTGCAATCCCACTGACAAGGTAAGGCACTTTACTGGGAGTCTGTAGGAATTGTTGTTTATTTGAGCAACTGGTGGTTTCAGAAGTTCTTCGAATCACAAAACGAGACCGATGACTGCTTTCCCAAGGGACTTCTGGAAATAAGCAAGTGCCAGCGGAGTGAGATTTTATTGTTTTCATTCAAAGATACTCCGTCATAACCTAATATTGATGGAAATCAGCTTTCCTTTTCTTTCTTTTCTCTAAATTTTCCTTAAATTACTTGCAACGTTCTGCTATCCAGGTCCGCTCACACCAACTAAGCTTTTCACAGGCCATTACATACCCTCCCCTTCAAAAAGCCAGAAATTGTGCGGTGCAGACCATACACCACAAGTGACGACGGCCTCAAAGTAAATCTGGTTAGTAGTGGTTCATAGTGATAGCTGATTTTTAGTAAATGATAGTTGTAATTACTGTCAACTGATCGAATACAACTGTAACAGGTTAATCATTTCATTGGCAAAAACATTTGCATTTTCTGGAGGCCGTCGTCACTTGTGGTGTATGGTCTGCACCCGACACTTTCTGGCTTTTGAAGGGGAGGGTAGCAAAGCGGTCAAGCTGTGGTGCAACATCAAATCACTCGACCGAGGGAATCGTATTTGCGCTTTTGAGAGGCGCAAGGGTCGTATTGGGAGTGATATTATGGTAGTAGTGGTGTGACCCCCGCCCCCAATCCCCCTTGACGCTGGTTTGGGCAGCCGGTGGGAGGAGTGGGCCTCGTGTCGATTGGTCATAGGATCGAATGCTACAGGAGCCATCATAGTTGTTGAGGGTGTGGGAGTGGTGTGGGGTGAGGTTGTGCGGGAACCACTGAGGCTAATAGTAGTGCTGGGGCTGTATAGAGACCTTCTGGTATGAGGGCCGTAAAAAGGCTGGAAAAGTACGACACGACGGTTTGACCTGGTGGCGGCGCCGCCATAACAGTTACTATGGTAGTACCTACATACCTAGCAGTAAACTTGGCGCAGTATTCGCAATACGGGTTGTTTCCCAAGCTAATTTTCATTGATTAGGAGATGAATCTGTTCCCATATAATAAAGGTAAAGAAGGATTGCACGAGAAGAGCGAAGCTCTGAGAATGGGAAACTTACCTAGTGGAGAGACAGAGGGACCCCATAATGGTGCGGACCAACAACCGCAATCATCCATCGAAAGGATATTGTCTCCAGCATCTGGCAATTAGCCGTGTCCTGTTGGCCGAACGTCCACGACACGTAGAGAGCGTTGGCGTTGAAAAGAGCACGATGAGGGGTCGCATCAATGGCGAAACAATCAACGGCAAGGGAGTGTTCCATTTCTCGGTTGCGAGCTGTTTCACCATGGCTTTCTTCTTTCATTTCTGGTTCAGCGTAAACTATCCTACCTTATTCGCAAAACGTCGTAGCAACCTTCTCATCGTAAGCGCTTCAAAGAGAAATTTATGCCAGTGAATCCTTAAAAGAGGCCCATTATGCTTCTTGCAGGTCAACCTCCAATTATGATCTCACTACCGAATTTCAATTTTGCCCCCGATGAAGTGCGACAATCTGTCAAAGGACTCAACGATACCGATCCCGAGCGAGACATTATCCTTGTCGATATTGAGCCTGTAAGTTATCACGTTTGTTGTCTAGTCCCGTAGAATTACATAGACCATTACTCCCTTATTTTGTTTTAGTACTACATAGGTGTCATAAGGGGCATCATGAAAAATGTCTGGCTGATGGTTTGAAGATGGGTTTGTTAACATATTACGCCAAGAAGCAATATCATCAAAATCTCTACAATTTTGAGTAGAGTTATGTTGCTTAATTTCAGCGCTTGGGTGCTGTGCTTCGCGCTCATCGGCGGTCACAAGTGAACATCGAGATGTGGAAGGGAAAGGATCTCGTCTTCCCGTAAGTAGGAGTGCTTTTCCTACTGCACCTTTAGCTATGACACTCTGAAGCGCAGAAGCAAAGGATTGCTTCTGTCTTGTGTTGATCATCCCGCTTGCCAACACTATTTAAAATTCCTATAATAGTTTTTCTTCCAAATAATCATAGCTAACTGCGCCAGCTGATACCACAGCACGTATCTTAAGGGGTGATTTTGCCGCTTCCCATGAAGTTCTCAGCTCTTCTCTAACTATATTCTTGCTTTAAAGGAGGAATTCACGATTAGAATGAAGGTCGAAGAAAGGGAAACTGACCTAGTTGAGGGACCCACGGACCTCCTGAGGGTGCGAACTGACGCGCAATTCGCATGGAAAAATTTGACCTCGGCGACCTATCATGCCTCAAAGCTGGCGGGTCCGGCGATCTCCGCCCACCGATCATCTGATCACTCGCCGTAGTTCAATACGTGGCGAGTGATTAGATAGCTGAGAGAGCGTAGTGTTGAAGAGGGCACAGCGATGAGAGTCGCATCAATGCTCGAATCAACGGGCAAGGAAGGGGTACCATTTCTCGGGTTCTGGGCCGTTTCTCATGGTTCTTCCTTCTTTCGTGTACCACTCACCATCCCTAGGTTAATTTGAAATGGGTTGCTTTTTCATCGTGAATTCGTCCTTTAAATCGGATAATCCGTCCTACCACATTTATGACCCATCACTATTTTATCACCAGTTCACTAGAAAAACTATGGACTCCTTTCTTTATATTTTTCCAATAATGCGGCATGAAAGTGGTGTGAGTGATTTCTGCGTTTATACTTACTCTAAAAGTCTACCCTATTCAGCGTGCCCCTTCAATCCTCCCCATAAGAAGAAACGACACGTTGTGATGTTCTAAAGAAGTGATTATTAGAATTACTGTTAGTTGGAATGTTCAAGCCCGTCTCGGACCAGAGAAAAAGCATCAATAGTGATGCTTTCCTTTGGCAATCGACCTACCACTAATTTCAGAAACATCACGATTACCACTCCCTTCGAGTATTTTACGTGAGGTTATACAGTCACCATAGAAGCCTCTTGCATTGGATCACTGTCACTTTCTCTTTCAGTGCACTAAGACTATCTAGTGAAGCATTCTTTCGTAGATATTCCGTATAGCAGAAAAACACGTAGAAATTTTCCTTCATCGAAAACCTGAGCTCTTTCACTGTTAGTCTTGCTTGAACTTAAGGTTTTACCATCCATGTGATCGAAAATTTTCAGCGTCAATCTCAACAAGACCCGATCATCGTTGATTCCGGTGCTGATCATTCATGAAGATGCCACTGTCGACCTCGACACCCTAAACAGTATCAGAAACGAGTTAATTCGAACAGAATGGTGGGCCCATTCGATCGCAACCGCTATGGCCGGTGCAGGATTAGCTGTCATCGTCATTGCTGCAATTTATGCTCTCTTCAAGGTATGAAAATCCACTAATTCTTGTATTTCTTCGGATTATTGGTTTTTTCCCCCCCCCCCCCCCCAAACCCATTGTTCGCATGCAACACCTAACTCCGTCGCGACCGGGACGCGGCGGGATTGCGCAATAGCAGGCGAGTCGGGAGATTTTTCTTCAAAATTTGAGTAGATGGAGATTTCCCCTGCCCAGGGCCGGTGAGGGTATGAAGATTCTTTTCAGGAAAGAAAACTTTCCAAATTCCATTTGAAACACGGCAGCCACCGGTGGATACCATTGTCCCAAGTGAGATCTTTGTCAGCCACCGGTGGCTGCCATTGTCACGAATGGGTTAAAGACACCGTCCAGCGAATTAACGCTAAGTTTCTACAGTTCTCCTTTCCCTGTGTGGTGGACCGGTCCCCGAGCACACGGCGTTGCTCTTTCATGCCTTAAATTTGCGTCACAGGGTCTCGTGATGCTCGGAATCCCGTTCTGTTCTTATGCACGCCTCTAGATTGAGCCACACGCTATCCCTAATGCACACCTCGAGATTGATGCCACGCTGCCGTCTGCGTCTTTCTTACCTCTGTCCTATTTCACACCCTTGCTGCCGAAACCTCTCGTTTGGGTACACACTTTCATCGGCCTGCACTCCTCTGATGGCAGCAATCAACTGCTAAAGGGGTGTTATTTTTTTACTTCCGGTGGTTCTTTTGATTTTTTGCACTAGTCGACCTAATAGCTCCTACTGTTTCATAATTGAATCCCAATAGCCAGACCCTGCTGTCGCGCAAAATACCTCTAAGCCTTCCGCATGGTGTTGATCAAATTGAGTTTCAATTCTCAATACTAATTTTAGGAGTGTGCATTGGAACCTTTCTAACATTTTTATTTAAGTCCAAATTATTGCGAGGAGGCAAATCCGACTCAGTCTCACCGTTACCCGCTTACGAACCACGAGAATCGTCGAACGGTAAAGGAACCTTTATGTAGAAGTAGCCCAAAGATCCACTCCAACGGAAGTCTGGACAACGGATAATTAGCTCTGGTTTTGAAGGTTTTGCAGTTTCAGTCGACTAACCCAACTAAATGGAATTTTCGACATGTGTCTTTAACCATTCTAACTCAATTACGAAGCCTTGTCTAGCTTTATTTCTTGTTATTGACTTGTAGTCCTATTGTAAATTCAATGTTGAATCTCTTTTTCTTGAGCTACTTGATATTTTGCGATCTTCTTAGCTCTCCCAAAAGTACGGTGGTTAGTACAAATTCGTGTAATTGTACGCTCTCTGCTCCTCCCTGTTTTTTGTTCCTGTACGGGTATTACAGAATATCACTCAGCTGTCTGCTCGTGTCTTACTGTATATAATTATCTTGAATAAACCTTTCAACTCTATCGCACTTTTTGTAGGTATGTCTATTTATATCACAATGCTTGAAATTTCTTTTCCAGCCGTTGGTCCTCTTTTGAACAGCTGGGCTTCGAGCAAACGAGTGGAAAATGTTGAACAAATCACTCATTAAAGCAGAACAGAATCATGTTCGACGTCAGTGGTATAATATTGCCGTAGAAGCCTTGATAGAATACGAAGAGACAAAAAAGTCGGTTTGGCCAAAGCGCACTTCCCCAAATATTTCGTCGGGCAAGGTGCCGCTGTTGATGGAAGTTTTATTTCCTTTTATTCCATTTATTTATTGGAGACATGAAGAAGAGTTCACGTGTAGAATCACATAAAAGTAATAAAGTCGCAACGTAAAAAGAGGACGCTGTTTGGATGCATGTGCATTAAAAATGTTTAAACATTGTAACCGCCTGTATACGAGTATATTGCGCCTTTTTTATGTCTATTGAACACTAATTGTCATGGGTAGTTACAACATGTTTCATCAGGATATACGGTGTTTTTTTCGTGCTGGAATGAGTGCAAACACATCAGGAGCATTGAAAAATGCCGAATAAATCAGATAAAACTACAATCTTTGCTTGAAATCGTGCGCTACATGGTGGCGCACGCGGTACGCAATGTGCATATTAAAGAAGTGCGGCCAACAAAACCAAGCAAAAACAAAACATAATCATATGGAGAGAAACGTGCTGCTGCTGCATGCATGCTGTAGACCTGAAAGATCAGTTGTAATCACAAGAGGTAGATGCTGAGTAAGTGGTGGTGCTGAGTAATGTGTAGTAAAAACTAATCTTTAGGGATAAGCCTCTGAAAACCAGCCAGCGGGATAGCTTTAATACGTTTTGACTAAAGAGTTTGTTGAAATTTGATATGGATCAGATAGCGAAACGCTGGAACTTGACCGGAGTCTCATTGTCAGAAACCAGCATCCTGAGTTAACATTCCCCCTCCTAGTGTTTGATTTACCTAAATCAAAGAATTCTGACAAGGCTAGGTTAGATCTTCTCGAAATTTTAAGGTTTACGATGAAAAAGTAGCTCATTGGAAATAAGGGTAGAGGATGGTCAGTGGAAGCAGGAAATGAAGAAGAAACCATGAGAAACGGCCCAGAACCCGAGAAATGGGACCCCTTCCTTGCCCGTTGATTTCCGCATTGATGCGACTCTCATCGCTGTGCCCTCTTCAAACTAACGCTCTCTCTGATCAGATAGTCGGTGGGCGTTCCGGGCCAATTGCGCCAAAGAGAAAGGCCATGCTAGATCGCCGGGGCATATCCTTCGATGCGAATTGCGTGTTGGTCCGCACCCTTAGGGTCCGCCTGTCTCTCCACTAGGTAAGTTTCCCCTTCTTCGACCTTCGTTCTTATCGTGGAATCCTCCTCTAAAAATCATTACATATCGCTGATTCAAGCGCCTACATGATAAACTACCAGTTTCCTCTAGTGGGTACCACTTCCGGATAGGGCGATATCTTTCTCTTTGTAGGAGGAAAACACCACAGCACCAATCAAGTGTTGGGCGAACAGAAATCTTATATGCTCGTAGTATGGTGCATGATTCTTTGAAGTTTCACGAAAAAATACTCTTTAGATGTCCCCAATAAGCGAAACCAGACCTTCCATTACTGCCCTCACCGTCTTCAGGATATGACGTCTTTGCCATCGCCGTCGAGCTCACATAATTTCTTCAATCAGTTCACTGATGAATAGTTTCCTGGAGACAGCAGCTGTGATTGTGCGAGACCCCTTCGAGCAGCGTTTCAGATGACGTCGTAATGGTCCACGATCGTCGAGAATCTTGTTGATCTCGAACCTTGCATCATGTTCCCGTGGCAGATCTTCGAGTAGAAGGCTGTCATGAAATTGTTCAATAGATTCAAAAAGCTATTCAATCTGCAGAAATACCATATTATTGGATCCGACACAACATTAGGTGTAACAAACTGAATACAGGGTGGCGAAAAATTACGTGCGCCATAAAAAACGTCCTAACTTCATTTTTGGTCCATAAAAATTCGAAGGAAATTAATTTTATAAAACAGCAAACTCTAACATTCAATAATTATAAAAAAGTATCGAAGTGGCCGCTGTCAGTTTTGAAAAAGATCTGAATATTGGGTTGATCCATAATTCCTGGCCGAATTTTTTCAGAATCAATTTTCTTCATGTCAAATTAGTGTCATTACGAAATAAGTTAGTATGTTGAAGGAGGCATCAGTACCTTAAACTAGGATGTTCCAGAAGGTCAAAGGGCAGTGGAATAAGTAAGTAGGGATCGAAATGGATCAACGACCAAAGCAGGCGATT